TTGAGCAGTGTTCAGAGAAACACTGGAATCTCCACAAAACTTCTCAATAAACCTGTTAAACCTTTTCCCTTGTCTCTCTGGACTCCGAACTCCGAACTCTTCATAAAATCATGACAATTATCCTTTTTTTCTTTTTTTTTTTAAAATCTCAAGCAAGTTGAATGACCCGGATATGATCTGGTTCACGTAAAGTTTCTACTTTAGTCGGCCTCAGGCAATACGCCTCGCCCAGAACCCAGTCTCTGGAAGGGATAGTTTTATATTCAAACCAATTAAATTCCCTAAGCTACATAAAAGGGTTTCTTTTCCTAATGAAGGTGGATCTACTTTCCAACAAAGTTAAACAAGTTTAAAATCAATCCACTGGACTTTGTTTCCAAGTTTGAAGACGTTTCTCTTCCATCCAGGAGGCTTTTTCAATTCAAAATGTCAGAAATAGAGTTGAGTTCCAGGTTTTATCCAGCAGCCCAACAAAGCCTGGTTTTTGTTTAGAAAACATGCAAATTGAACCAAAAGAACACGTCCACCCTTTGCAATAGGGGTCCTTGTTGGCCTGCTTTTTGTTGTTTTTTAACTTTTTTTGGAATGACTATGATCTGGAATACTGAAAATCTTAACCAACGTTGATCAACTTTCCTTCTTGAACTAAAGATAACTGCAGGTTAGAAGAGAAGCTGCTGCAGCACGAAGGAAACTGTCTGATTATTCATGAGGAACGCTGCCATCATGGTTCTGAAAGTTTTAAACTTCTATAGCTCTTGAGCCACATGGAGTATAAAAGTTCTGGGCTCCATGTAAAGAATAAACTCTCTAGTTTCTGCTGTGGATGTGGTATGCTTCATAAAACAGCTCTGAATGTAAGAAAACTATTCTCGCCTGGATTTTCTATGTGAAAATTATGAATAATATTACTCCAGCAGGCAGGAATTAACTATTTCCCACAACAGAAAAACTGCCTTATATCCTGGCAAGCAGCCTTTCAAATGTTATTGGAATATCTGCAAAAAATAGCCGTTATATAAGTGCTCAACATAGAAACATCAGTGAGAGCTCTTTGGAAAGAAAACACTTAGAGGAATCAGACTAAACTGTCAAAATCTTTCAAACGCACGTTTTTATTGGAAACATCTGAATACAAAACCTGTAGTGGGTCATATCTTTGCTCATTGGAAAGAGGAGAACCAGAACCTTCTGAGGATATGCAGACATGCTATGTTGACATTGTAATACCCATATGTACATGCGCTGAATGTTCTAAAGCGCCCCTGGGTCATGGGGGGGTTGGTGGGAACTTTAGGAACTTTAAATAAAATCCTTTGCTAAATGTTTTCAGGTACAGTTAAATCAAATTGGGCAAAGAAAGCAAACCAGAGGAAATCTGCAGAGGCGCAGATCATTTCCCACAGAACAACAACATCTATGTACATCTGCAGCAAACAATTAGTCTGGAAAAAGTCTAATTTTCTGTTAATGTTTTCATCCTGGTTTAAAGGATCAACCTAACGGACAGCCTCTGATCAGGCAGCAGTCAGAAATCCTCCTCAGCTTCGAGACGATGAAGATCTCCCCTTTAAGGGCTTCTCTGATGATGGGGATACAAAGAACAGTCTGATGGCCTTCCTTCAATGCAATTATCCTCACAAAGATGGAGAAATGGGATGAAATGAACGGAAATGGTGCAGAGGCTCTGCACTTTCTGAGAGAGGGAGTAGAAATAAGAGCTGAGCTTTAGCCTGATGCAGCCTGAGCGCCACTGAAAGCTTCTCTGTTTCTGCAAATAAAACATTTTTACTGCATCATTGGTTAAACTTTTAGAGAAGAAAACCAAAACAACCTATTTTTTTAAATAAACCATGTAGATCGGATCAGCTTCCAGAAACTAAGCTAATCGCCACCAGATGATGACTAATCTGAGGAAGAGTTGATTTTAAACTGATGGGTTACTGCTTTAAAAAAAGCAATGAAAGAAAAAAAGGTAAACAGTGATTCAGCTGCTAGAATGGGAAATGCTTTTGCACCATAACTACACGGCTCTGTGCTGTGCTGAAAGGTGTTCAGATGCACAACACGTGATTCTACACTGCATAAACCTTCTGAAAATGAAAAATTTACAGTAGCAGCCATTGAGTATGGCTCCTGCCAGTCAAACGCCAGCTGATTAGCAGCCCACCACCCTGCAACTCCCAGCTAGATCCTCTCTAACTTCCAGCCACTGCCCTCCTGGCCGTGAATAACTTTTTATTCTGACTCCACCCTTTCACTGAATTACAGGGTCTGACCAGGAGATGGCGCTTCTCTTTAGATCTAAATGTCAACAAATCATGACAGAAAGGAACTGTAGGGGACCAGCCAAGGACCATCCAAGGACCAGCCAAGGACCGGCCAAGGACCAGCCAAGGACCAGCCAAGGACCAACCAAGGACCAGCCAAGGACCGGCCAAGAACCAGCCAAGGACCAGCCAAGGACCAGCCAAGGACCATCCAAGGACCAGCCAAGGACCATCCAAGGACCAGCCAAGGACCAGCCAAGGACCAGCC